GCATTTATCCACGGGATACAGGTGTGCTGTTTTGAAGGGGCGCATGCACCCCCATGTTTATAGCAGCACTACCAACAATAGCCTAAGTATGGAAAGAGCTCAAATGTCCATCGATGGAGGAATGGATAAAGAAGATGTGGTGTATATATATATATATATATATATATATACAATGGAGTATTACTCGGCAATCAAAAAGAATGAAATCTTGCCATTTACAACTACATGTATGGAACTGGAGGGTATTATGCTAAGTGAAATTAGTCAGAGAAAGACAAATATCATATGACTTCACTCATATGAGGAATTTAAGATACAAACAGATGAACAGAAGGGAAAGGAAACAGAAATAATATAAAAACAGGGAGGGGGACCAAACAGAAGAAACTCATAAAAACTCAGGAGCACAAACTGAGGGTTACTGGATGCGTTATGGGAGGGGGGGATAGGCTAAATGGGTAAGGGACACTAAGGAATCTACTCCTGAAATCATTGTTGCACTATATGATAACTAATTTGGATGTAAATTTGAAAAGATTAAAAATTAAATTAAATTTTTTTAAAAAAAGAAAAAATTGCCTCTTTAGGTCCTTTTCCCATTTTGAAATAGGATTTGTTGGGCTTTTTGCTATTGAGTTGTATGAATTCTTTATATATTTGGATATTAACTCCTTATTAGATATATGGTTTGCAAATATATTGTCCCATTCAGTAAGTTGTCTTGGTAGGACTGTCTCTTGATTAGGCTTCTCTCCATGAGTCTACTTCTTTCTTCATTTTGTGGACCAATTCTCTCTCTTCTCCTGTCTGCTGGGTCCACAGCAAAAAAAAAAAAAAAAAAAAAAAAAAAAAAAAAAAAAAATACCCATTTATAGCCATTCCTAGAGAACTCATTTCCATTCTTATCCCCACTCTCCATCTCCTGTGCCTCCCTCTCATTTCTTAATTTCCTCCAAATTCCTTGGTTAGGGTCTTGGACTAGCGCATCTTGGATCAGAAGCCTACCGTTGGTCCCATCAACTATGGCTAAAGGGTTGGAGTCATGTTCCACAAAACTTGACAATAGGCTTTGATTGTCATTGATGAAAGGAAGGGGAGTCCATGTAAGAAATTAAAGATGTTGGGGCACCTGGGTGGCTCAGTGGCTCAGGTCATGATCTCCTGGTTCTTGAGTTCGAGCCCTGCATTGGGCTCCATGCTGGCAGTGTGGAGCCTGCTTGGGATTCTCTCCCTCCCTCTCTCTGCCCCTCCTCTCCCCTCATCTCGCTAAGTTAATTCAAAAAAAGAAATTAAGGACTTTGTTGTGTAATGTGCAGCTATTCTCAAAGGTGACGTGGATCAGAATAACATGAGAATGGAAAACTTTTTATCATAAAAAATTTCAACACATGCAGAATCAGAGCCATTAATATAATGAACCTTACCATCACCCAGCTAAGGATGTTTACTCACATAAGCACAATGCCATCACCACACCTAACAAAATCAACAATTTCCTTGGTATCATCTACCATCCCGTCAATATTTAAATTGCCCCAATGGCAGGAAACTTCTTTGTGTTTGTTTTTTTTTTTCAAACCAGGATCTAAACAAGATCCTCATGTTACCTTGGTTGTATGCCTCAGCAACCTCTTTTAACCTAGAGCTGTCCTCACCCCACTCCCTGACTCCATTTTTATGACATTAACCTATGAAGAAACAATGTTAGTTGTTCCTGCCGAATGTCCCACATACTGGATTTTATCTGTCTGCGTCTTCATTATGGGCTCATAAATAGAATTTCATTCTAAGGGCTTGATTTACTGCAAGGTCAACATTTTTTGAAAGTACGTGTCACTAGTGGTGCTGCATGCTTCCTGATGCCTCAAGTTCATGGCCATTCAATGTCTAGTGTCCCGCTCTTAGTTATGCTAAGACTGACCAGGGGGTTCAGGTGGTGACAGCTTGATTTCTCCCTTGTAAATGTCATTATCAAACTTTTGCCTAAAATGCTCACCCATTGACTACCTTTGCCTGAATTATTTATTTCATTAGGTACTACAAAATGGATGTGAGAAGATCCAACCAGGGGGCAAGTGCATATGTAACTTCCCTAGGTATTTCCAGATTCTCTTCCGCTGGAGTTGTAACCATTCTTAAAATTTTGTGTGTGTGTTTATTTATTCTTGAGAGAGCAGGAGGAGACAGGGGAGGGGCAGAGAGAGAGAGGGAGACACAGAATCTAAAGCAGGCTCCAGGCTCTGAGCCATCAACACAGAGCCCGATGCAGGGCTCGAACCCGTGAACCATGAGATCATGACCTGAGCCAAAGTTGGACACTTACCTGACTGAGCCACGCAGGCTCTCCATTGTAACCATTTTTTATTCCAATCAGCAATGTAGGAGATATTATCATATCTCACCCCAGCATGTTTTCAAAGTTTTGGTTTTCATCGATATGATAGACAAGAGTTGTCACCTCAGTAAGGATTTAATTTGTATTTCCCTTATGATGAGTGACCATGAGGGCAACTGGGTTTTGAAAACAAACAAACAAAAAAGGCAAGAAAGCCCCAGTGATGATGATGATTTTAAGCACACACTAACTTATTTCCTCTCCTTTTGGTCAAACAATATCTTCCCATCAAGCTTGGTAACCGGTTTCCTCTTTCCCCAAGGAAAAATTCTCTCCTCACCTGTCATAATTCTCAGGAAATTCGATAGCATATGGCCCTACGCCACATAAGAAAAAAAAATGGGGATTTGAAAGCATAACTCTCTGATAACAAGTTTCTTGATGAATGTCACTCCATTACACCAACAGCAGAGCAGTGTGATTTCTAAGGAAGCACAAAAATCTGCTACAAGGAAGCTTAATGTATGACAGTTTTCCACGAGTAGGTGGACTGCTTAAGCATAGCAGCAAGATGAAATAATCATCTGCTTAAGAAGGGATTAAGAGAAGTAAGGATGACTCATGAGCACATAGTTCTTTTTTTTTTTAAAGTTTATTTATTTATTTTGAGGGAGACAGAGACAGAGCAAGTCGGGGAGGGGCAGAGAGAGAGGGAGAGAGAGAGAACCCCAAGCAAGTTCCACACTCTCAGTGCAGAGCCGGACACAGGACTCAAACCCACGAACTGTAAGATCATGTCCTGAGCTGAAATCAAGAGGTGGATGCTTAACCAGCTGAGCCACCCAGGCGCCCCTTATTTTCATAGATACACACTCGAGATGTGTGGCGAGTCCTATATACAGAAAGAAATCCACATATAGTTTATACCAACTGACATTGTACCACAGTAATTGTGGGAGATAAGTAAATGTGACCCAATTTAAAATGGTGGATTACAGATCGGCTCACATGGCTTATTGTGTCTGAAATTAATTAATTAATTAATTAATAATATGTCGACAGGTTGGTTGTTCATAAAGGCCTTAGAGGAAACAGGGAGATGTTGTTCAGAGGGTACAAACTTCCAGTTATAAGTTGAATAAGTTCTGGGGAGTTGTAACATACATAGTGATAGTTCTACTGTATTACATACTTGAAAGTTGCTAACAGAGTGGATCTTAAATGTTCTCACCACAAAAAACAAACGGTAATTAGGTGGCAAGATGAAGGTGTTTGCTTATGGTACAGTGGGAATCATTCTGCAATGTAGAAAGATAGCAAATCAATGCATCATACACCCTAAATTTACACAATGTTATATGTCAATTATATCTTAAAGCTGGGCAGGGGTAAGGCCATAGAAATTACTCTTAAAGCTAAATCTGACTCTCAGATGACGGAAGTCCCCCTTCCCAAGAATATCAGCTGATCAAGGCAGAAAAGGCTCAGAAAGAGAGAGAAAGAAAGCGAAGGAAAGAATGAAAAGGAAGGAAAGAAAAGGAAGGAAAGAAGAAAAAAAGGAAGGAAGGAAGGCAGAGAAAGCAAGAAAGAGAAAGTAAAAGGGTTTTCTCATCAATACCAGCAGACTAAAGAGGGCTCAGTGTCTCCGGATGGATAGACTTTTCTTGGTCTTTCTTCATGGGGACACATCACTGCTGTCCTTCAGGACAGGAACTTCAAAGGACCCAAAGATATTCAAACCAAGCCTGCTATACTCCTTTCTTGTACCTGGAGAACTATTCCTGAACGATTTTGCATACCCAGGTATCTCTCCCACCTGCACCAGCTCCTTCCAAAAAGCATACTGCTGGAAGATGTTAACAGTGGCCTTTGCGGGGCGCCTGGGTGGCGCAGTCGGTTAGGCGTCCGACTTCAGCCAGGTCACGATCTCGCGGTCCGGGAGTTCGAGCCCCGCGTCAGGCTCTGGGCTGATGGCTCGGAGCCTGGAGCCTGCTTCCGATTCTGTGTCTCCCTCTCTCTCTGCCCCTCCCCCGTTCATGCTCTGTCTCTGTCTGTCCCAAAAAATAAATAAAAAAACGTTGAAAAAAAATAAAAAAAAAAAAAAACAGTGGCCTTTGTTCATCAATGGCCACGAGCCTTAACCAGGGGCTGGGCTGTCTCCCCACATTGCATTCAGTTGCCTTCTGTTCCCACTAATGTCTTCTGATTTTCATGCCATTTGACCTGTGGAAGTCCTACCTTTTCAATGGCTCCGTTACATCTGGACAAACCTGGCTTCATTCAGCACCTGAACACTTTCTGAGCACCTGTTATGAGCTTAGCGTAGCACAGTGATGGGCAGCTCCAGCCAGAAATGGGCAAGGGTTGCAGCCAAAGGTAGCGGTGTGCTCCCTGGAAGGAACACCAGCAGCCGGAGAAGGAAAAAACAGGTGATTTAGGGTGATATTCAAGGCCGCAGCCCCGTCCTGGGGAGCTCAGTTTCGGCCTTGCAGCCCACCCACGAACATCACCGAGTTTACCGTGTGCTCAAACTTGCCCCACTTCTGTGAGTCACACTAGGGCCACTCACAGGCTGAACTGTCATGGTCACTTCGTCAGCCCCACCCCTTTCATTTCCTGAATCTTTCGAAATAGTCTGGGTCCCGCAAGGCAGCGTCACCTCACTGCCACCAGCCAGCTGGAGAGGTGCTTCCAAAGGCCCCTCAAGGCCACTCCTCTAATTCCCTCCTCAGAGCCGTCCCCGGACTTGGGGATGGATTTCGGGGATACCAAAGGGCTCCCCATGGATCTGCCTTGTTACCACGGCCCTCTGTCCAAGAAAGACTGCGAGACTTTGCTGCTCAAGGATGGGGTGGATGGCAACTTCCTGATAAGGGACAGCGAGTCCATGCCGGGAGTGCTGTGCCTCTGTGTCTCGTGAGTAGTCTCATCTTGCGTGCGCGCGCACACACACACACACACACACACACATCTGGAACCTCACACCGAGCGTAGTAGAAGCCCAGTGGGAAAGACATTGTATTTCACTCCGACCTTGCAGCCCAGATGAGCAGAATGAGAAAAGGCTAGGCTCTGCTTGAAGAGGGCACAAGGAGTGTGTCCTATCCATCTGTCCACGGCGCATACGCGACCCCAGGGGCCCCTGTGCAGCAGCAGGGGAGGGGTGGGGGCAAAGGGAAGGGCTGCAGGAAATATGGGGGGCAAAGGGGCATTGCAGAGGCAAGGGGGTGCACGTGAGAAAGGAAGAAAGAGGAAGAAAGAAAAAGGATTTTCTCATCAGTGCCAGCATATCTAAAGAGGAGGGCTCAGTGCGGAGGTCGGTTTGTTTGCGCTGGGAAAAGGCTAGATGCCCTTCAGGAAACTTTAATCCGAGAGACCGAAGTTTTCACGTATATTCTGCCGGCTCCACTGGTGATACTTAAAATACGATTTCAAAGTTTGTTAGATGGGTAAAGGGCCTCCACATGCATCCTTTCCTTTCATCCTTAGAGTCAGTCAAGGCCAGCAGAAACAGTCACCATCTTCTAGACGAAGAAACAGAGACCGGATTTCTCAAACGCCTTGCTTGTGTTGAAATTTATCTGGCATCTCCAAAGAGTTCAGGCCAGAGTATCAGAGCTCCCCCGCTAAACAAGCTTGTTCAGTCCCGTTTAGAAGGCAATCCTGAACAGCTATCGGTGGGAACCTAACTATCTTCAAGTGTTCTGTTTGGAGAGATCACTGAAATTTTTCTTTTGCCTGTTATAGGAATTAAAACCCAAGTGTCTCTATGGATGCGCTTCAGTGCTTCTTAGAATGAGGACAACAGGGGGGCGCCTGGGTGAACCGTCTGACTTCGGCTCAGGTCATGATCTCACGGTTCGTGGGTTCAAGCCCCGCGTCGGGCTCTGTGCTGACAGCTCGGGGCCTGGAGCCGCTTCGGATTCTGTGTCTCCCTCTCTCTCTGCCCCTCCCCTGCTCATGCTCTGTCTCTGTCTCTCAAAAATAAATAAACGTTAAGAAAATCGTAAAAAAGAAAAAGAATGAAGACAAAAGGGACTGTCATTACTAACAGAATTGGCAGAGATAGATTTCCTTTTTTATATGATGCCAGGGATGTAGGTAAAAGAAAGATAGCCTTAGGGGTTAGCAGTTTGAGTTTTCAAATTACCAGTGATGACAAGAGTGTATTCATATATTTCTTAGCCATTGGTAATTCTTCTTTTGAGAACTGCCTACTCACATTCCTTTTTAATGTTTATTTATTTATGAGAGAGAGTGCCAATGGGGGAGGGGCAAAGAGAGAGAGGGGGACAGAGGATCCAAACCGGGGTCTGCCCTGACAGCGGCAAGCCCTATGTGGGGCTTGAACTCATGAACAGTGAGATCATGACCTGAGCCGAAGTCGGACGCTCAGAAGACTGAGCCACCCGGGGGCCCTGACCAATCACATTCTTTACCCATTTTTAGCTTGAGTTGTTTCTCTGCATTGTTTTTTCCTGATTTCTATGTATGAAGGCAAAACTTTTTTTTTTTCAAAAAGGACACAGGCACAAAGGAAATCTACAGACCAATTTCAATTTTAATTAATGCCACTTTTCAGTAAACTACTAACAAAACAGAAGCCAGGAACACGTTAGAGGAGAAAGTACACGGTGCTCAAGTCTGGTCCATTCCAAGACGTCAAGGACGGTTCCAGGTTGGGTAAATTATTATTTAATGAAATATTAATTAGCCAAAGTTTACGAACGGCATAACTCGTTCAGATTTGGTTAAAAGTATTAGGTAAAATTCAGCATCCGTCCCTCAACTAAATACACACACACGCACACATGTGTGCGCTTACACACTCCTAACCATACAAAGCCAAATAGGTACTTTCTTCACCAAAGGCTGGGTGAAGCACAGGAAAATTGCAGCTAAAATCATGAATGTAGGAGCACCTGGGTGGCTCAGTCGGTTGAGCGTCAGACTCTTGATTTCAGCTCAAGTCGTGATCTCACGGTTCGTGGGATTGAGCCCCGCCGAAGTCGGGCTCGGCACTGACGATGCAGCACTTGTTTGGGATTCTCTCACTCTCTGCCCCTCCCCACCCCCCAATTTTTTTTTTGAAAACGTATAAAAAGGTAGTGAATCCCTACTATCTATTCAAACATGGTACTAGAGCCTAGGGAGATTCTAACAGGGAATTTGCAATTTTTTTTTTCAAGGAGATCCAAAACACATAAATAAATTATAAAAGGGCAAAGGATAAATTTAAGAAGAGGCAGTTTTATGCAAATTCAAGGGCAGAAAAGATGAACAAGAGGGTCTTTTTAGAGGAGGTGGCATTTGAGTTGGGACTGGAAAGAGTGGGTAAGATTGGATTACAGGGAAGCGGAATGGAAGGCATACCTAGAGGTAGGATGTTTGACAGGGTTCGAGAAAAGTAGCTTGGAAACGGCTTTTGGTAGAGTAGGTTTGGGATGATGTCATGGGGTCTGAAACGAATGACTGTGTAGGTAACGGGGAAGCGCAGATGGTTTCCATGCAGGGAAATGACCAGACTGGAACTCCTCGAACTCCCCCAGACTAGAATTTTCGGAGCTCCAGTGTGATATGGAAGATGCTCCGAAGCTGACAGGTGATGGCGGTTGAGGGTGTTGTGTCTCTGGATGGGAGATGGCGAGGAACTAGCTGTGGCAGGGCAAATAGCAGGAATGGGAAAAGCGGGTGCCAGGGACGTCATAGAGACAGGAAGACCCTGACCCAGACTTCAGGGTAAGTAGTCTATCCTGGGATTCTCTTTAAAAGTCAACGTTTCTTTTCGACAACTTTGTGGAATATCCAGCTAGCCTGCATATTCATCTAAAGCGAAAGTCGCTAAGAAACGGAAAAAGAACACTAAATCAAATGATGAGAGAGGAGTATATATTTTTGCCCGTGCCCATGTCCCTGAAAGGCAGACCTATCTCAGATGCATCAGGCTTAAGGCTCAGGTCAAATGGCCCCCATCTCAATGGCCTTTATCATGATCCCTGTGAAATTTTGTCACCACGCAGATCAGCACTGACCGTTCAATTCTAGTTGTCCAACGGGTGTTGAGAGTCTCTTAGATGCCAGGAGCTATGCTGGGCACTAGATTGGTGCCCTCAACACAGCTCAGAGCCTCGTAGGGAAAATAAAGAAGTCAACGGACACTCAAAGTGTGTGCCGATGACCGGACTCACATTGGGGTGTGTGGGAACTGAGAGCAAAGAGCGACTCACTCATCAAGGTGTGGAGAGCTTTAGTGCAGCAGGTTATTTGGAGGATGAATGAATAGAACCTTCACGCATTCATTCAACAAGCATATACTGAGCGCCTCTTATAATGTGTATTCCAGACACAGTTGTAGGCATCGGGAAAATAGCGATGAATGATACGGGCATCAGTCCTGCCCTTGTGAAAGTACATTCCGGTGAGAGGAGACAGTAATGATGAAAACAAAACAGAGTTATAGTACAGTGAGGGATAGAGAGGCTACTTTAGGTTGCCCGACGTGAGCAAAGCCAAAATGGTCTCAAGAATTAGCCTATTTGCCTGTAACTGTGCATTTGGAGCCACCGTGAAGGTCCTTTTTTTTTTTTGAGAAAGAGAGGACATGTGCATACGTGAACAGGGGAGGAACAGAGAGATCCCACGACCGTGAGATCATGACCTGAGCTGAAATCAAGAGTCTGATGCCCAACCAACTGAGTTACTCAGGTGCCCCATGAAGGTGGTTTCTAGGAGCCAAACATCGTGACAGGCATGTTGTATTTGTTACCTCACTTGCTCTTTGCAAAGCCATTTCTAGTTGGTGACGTTACCCCTAATTTGTGGGAGAAGAAACTAGAAGTGCTCCTTCTTCTTTTTCCCCTTCTCCTTCCTCTCCTTTTCCTTCTTCTCTCCTTTTTCAACTTGTTTATTAAATATATAATCTCTACTCGCAAGGTGGGGCTCGAACTCATGACTCTGAGACCAAGAGCCACATGCTCCACCTACTGAGCCAGCCGGGTGCCCCAGATACTGGAGTGTCTTATTAGATAACTTGTCCAAGCCCAACTTGCCAACGCGTCAGTATGTTCCTTCTTACCCATGTCCCCAGTGCCCCTGACATATGCTCAAGGTACTCGCCTTGGAATTGTGTTATAAAGTGCCCAAGCCGAGGACCGGAGGTCTTGCCAGCGGACCCTGATACGTGGAGTCTTACCATTCTGCTTCCCAACATTGAGGCTGCCCCTTCTTTGCTGTTAGAATGGCAATATGGCAATAGGCCACCTTCCACGCTTTCACAGACCTAAACAAAAATATCTCAGGGAAGTTTCGAACTAAAGGAAGTCACACGAAGGGTTGGCCAAGCAGCACCTAGTACTGACCAGAAAGCGATGTGGTAACTCTAGACAGGAAATGCTACTTGATCGTGTACCCTGATAGAGCTTTCAGGAAGCACTGGCATGCAAAAACACTGCCTCTGTAGTGTGACCCTGTGAGTGTGAGAAGTTGGACGCGGGTCTGCCTTTATAATCAGTAGAGTCAAAGTGGAGTGGCTACGGGGAGAGCCGAGGCTTCCTCTGTGGGTCTGAGGGGAAAGGAGGGACTTTCTGTAGCCGTGGGACGGCTGCCGATGAGAAGAATCCGGGCCCTGACTTACCACATGTCCTCACTGAGGAGAAAGCAGAGATAGAAAGGAGTGGAAGAGCCCCGGGTGGAGGCGGGGGGTGCAGAGAGGGTGTCATTTCTAGCTCCCAGGTTCTGAGATCTTTGGAAAGACTCTAGAGCTCACAAAGGAAAAAAAAGAATTCAAACTTTTTTGGTTATTTTAGAAAATCCAAATGTGGAGAAAGGTATAAAAAAGAAAGCAGAAATGTTCTCAGTTTCACCACATGGAAATTACCATTTCTGATATTTCAGTACACATGTCTCCAGGCTGCTCT